AAATAGTAAATCAAGTTTCAAAATGATGTGCTTATCATTTCAGAAAAAAGATTATAACACTAAATAAAATTCAAAAAATATATTTTTACTGAAATCCCAAGTAAGAGTAAAGAAAAAAGTGCAAAGAAAATTATACCTATTATTTTAGGAAAAATTAGTACAAGAACATAAAGTAATCCGTTGGTAAAGGTTCCAAGGTAAAAGATCTAAAAAACACCTGATGAGACTCAGGAGAGAAAAAGCAAGTGACCTAAGCAGTGACAAATAATTAGCTTGGCCTCAGTCTTTTCCATTGCAAACTTTTGTTCCAGAAGACAATGAAGTGATGCTTAACATTCTAAGCATTTGGTCCAAGAAATTTTTATGAACAGTTTGTCCTGAAATAAAATGTTTGTGGATATTTTCAAACACAAGAAATGATTAGCACAAAAGATTGGGGGGAAAATCTGAAGGAGAAAAGTACCTGAAAAGATTTTTTTTTAAAATCAGACATTTGAAAAATGAGGCTGATGTAGAAAAATGAATAGATCGCTGGTACTAAATATCATGTGCATATATAACAAGTCAAATAAAGTATTACACAGTTTCATAAAATGGGACAAAAAGAACTGTCAGGACCTAAGTTTTCATAATTTCAATTCTGAAAAACTTCATTTCTATAATCTTGGGAAAATTCATTAATAGAAAATATTTTGTAGGGTCCATTGTGGAGATTAAATGTGTTTTAATATTGGGCACACAAGAGACAATAGAACCTCTCAAAGTATACTAATATGGTGTGCACTCAGACAGAAAAAACTTACTAAACTTTGTAAAGTAAAAATATAACAAATATTAGAAAGTAGAATGAAGAATAAACGTAAACGAGTATATTAAAATTGTATATATGCCAAAAATATTTCACTCTCAATTTTTTCATATTTTTCTTTAGTTAATTTATACTAACGTTATTAGTATAAAATATCTATGTTTTTCACCAATTGTTTTAGTTAAAGCAAATTTTTCTCATATTGAATGTTAGTAATTTAAGGAGCTAAAGGTGTAGGGAAGGTGGGATGGGTAGGGACAGAGTAAAAAGGGAAAAGAAAAACGTGAGAGAATGAAAAGTTGGAAATAAAGAGTTTGTAGATGGGGAGGGGAGGAGGGGGTGAAGGGAGGGCAGAGGTAAGGGGAAAAAATGAGAATCAAGATCTGTCATGTAGAGGTACAAGATCCCAACAATGAATGTAACTGTACTGTATCCCTAAAATGTACCAATAAACTCAATTAAAGCTGAAAAAAAAGAAAAGAAAATTGTATTACATAATATTTTATAAGTTCATTCTAGTAATCTATGTCTCTTTTATCTGTAGATATAAAGATGTAACAATTTTGCATTGTGAGCATTTTGGTAGTGCTTGTTTTGCCTTTCCAAATCAATTATAATCCTTGTATTTTTATGATGTTTATATAAAATTTATGCTAAAAATGACTTTTTAAAAAATGCAGCAGAGCAAAAAACAAGTATAAAGGAACAAATTAAATCCAAATTATAGTGATAAAATAAACACTAATGGTGGCTATAATCACTATATTAATTAGTAAATAGATTTAAGCAATGTAAAATTATATGGAAAATATACTGTACCATATGCTAAATAAGAAAAAGAACTTTATTAACATTATCATAATATCTTACTTGTCAAAATATTATTGGACTTATGCATATAATACATTTGGAAGACTGATAAAAATAAAAAAATTCAGCCAAAAATTCTACATCTGAGCCAAAATAGTTTATTGACAGCTTCTGTGTTCAAGTTGAAAAGCTTTTGCTACACAGAATTTCTTCACCCTTCTTTTACTAATTCCTTCTGAGAATCACTCTCCACCCATTTTTTTCAATCACTTAAAGTTTAATAAAACCATTTGGCCTAAAGTCTAAGTCAGTTCATTAATTCATTTTACCATCTTTATGTGATGAATGACTACCCTGTATCATATGAGCAACACAGCAATGAAAACTCATGTAAACCACGTTTGCATGGAGATTACGTTCACATAGAGGAAATAAATGGATAAATTACACAGTAGTGCCAGGTAGCTTTAAGTGTTATGAAGTAGTCGATGTTACAAGCTGAGAAATCGGTTAATTATGATAATAAATTCTTCCAAATTCATTTTGGGTTTTTTTTTCAAGTTTTGAGCGAAGTTATGTAGTTTGATTAGAGCAAGTGACACAAAGGGAAATATGTTGAAGGATTCTTTTTCTCTCTGGATTTTAACCTGAAAGGATGAAAGAGATGGAACTGCCTCCTCTGGGTGACCCATGAAAACAGGAGAAAGCTTCATGGAAACAGAGAAACTTGTACTTTGCAGTTATTTGGGACAATGCATTCCCTTTCCTATGAACTAATTTGATTTTTTTTTTTTTACTTTTTACCAGAAGAAGAACTAAATGAACCCCAAATTCTTGGATTCTAACCTCAAATTCATTCCATATATCTTTGTTTACAAAGTAAGGCTTACCATCGTATTAAACAAAAGCCTTACTTTAAAAGGCCCGTGCAGGGCCAGGGATATTGTGCAGTCGTTCTGCTGCCTGCCTCACAAGCTCAAGGACCTGAATTCGATCCCCAGTGCCAAAGAAATTAAAGAATAAAAGGCCCATGCAGAGCAGCTGGAAAAGTATGCCTGGATAGCTTAAAAATTAGCTAGAATAGAAGAAAAGTAACCAAAAATACAGAAAAATTAGTAACTGTGGGTAACATATATTTATATATTCAACTGTATATATTAGAATAGTCCAAGCAAATAATAGCAGTTATTAAGTAATTACTTATTATTTATCAATTCAACAAACTTCTAGTTAACTTGGTCAAGGAACACTAAGCATGAATTCTGGGTCAAGGACTGTTTTAGACCCTATGATCCAGACTAGTCATATTCTCCACACTTGATGGAATTTATATTCCCTTTAAACAGAGCTATAATATATAAGACTCATCGTAAGTAAAGACAGAAAACTGTAAAGGCAGATAGGGTCACATGCTATGACAAAGTAAAGGTGGTGAAATATGGGATTGTGAAGGGAAGGGAGAGAGGGTCTATTTTCCCATGCAGCCGTCAGGAAAGCCTCTGCGGAGATTTTTCTGCAGAAACCTCACAGTCTTCAAAATGAGGCAGGCAGGATAAAATGAGCAAGAATGATTGAATACAGTATGCTAAAGAAACATGACTTGGCGTTATTCCTGAACAGAAAGGTCATCGATAGTCTTGTAACCCAGGAACTGTGGTGGGCGAGCGTGATCACAGTGTGGAGAGAGCAAAAGGATCTAACAGAGAGGAAGCCAGCTCTTCAGATCATGGCTTGGGAGTTTAAAGGTCACTTGAAGAGAAATGTGAAGCTAATTAATATTTTCACAGAAAAAAGCATGCATTTATTTTTTTTTTTAAATAGGAAAAATGTATTGAGAGAAAGATGGTTTCTTTCTAAGAGAGACAGAAGGGACCAGCAAGTGAGTTGCCCGCTGCTGACCCTGCCTCTCAAAGGTGTTTTATGGGAAAAAGCCACGAAGTGAGGAGATTTGAGATGGGGCAAAACTATGACCAACACATAAGATTACAATAAGTATAGTCACTTAGATAATATTGATTAAAGGAGAGGATGCTTAGATTATACATGCTCTAATTTCTTAAAAGTTTTGTTTATTCTTGCCTAGAAGCCTCCAAACTCCAAGCAGTCATACAAATGGAGCCAACCAACAACAAATGGGCTAGACTTCTTTTGCCAGGATCCACCAGATCGACCTTGTAAAAAGTTCATAACTGCTAAACTACAATACAACTTCTATGTCTGAAGTACCCTTCCGATGCTTTCCTTGTCCTCTTCGTGGGAGGCTATTACTAGTTCCCCCTGGTAGAAACGCTAGTTGGCTACATTCATAGTTACCCTGTTGACCTCATTATTTGGCCCATGTATTCTTAACTGTCTCCTCCAGACTCAAAGCTACGAGTCTACCCAACATGACAATGCCTGGTGCCTACCGAGGGCCTTTAGATGCACCCTCTGTAGAGTAACTCTGACTGCTGATCACAGCTACAACCTCTTCAGCTGAAAGTAACCAGAACAGTCTTTGCCCTTTGCATTTACATTTTTATCACTTCTCTGATAGCTTTTGGAGATCACAATAGAAGTACTCAGGAGGAAGACATGATAGCACTGCTTTGATTTGTTTCACCATTTTTGGTATTCCAGGTGGGAATAGATGGTGGAAAGAGATACATTAGATACATTTGAAGTTGAACTGATATCTTTTGTGACTGGGAGGATAGGATGGGACATTAGGGAAATGGGAAAAATAAGAATCTTAAGTCTTTGAGCTGAAGCCTGCTAACTGGATGTGATAGCACCAAAAATGCAAAAGAAAGAACAAAATCTGGGTTAAGCCCAAACAACCAAAAAACATCATTTCAGGCTCACTGTGACTTTCCAATTAGAGACTGCTATGGTTTGAACGTCCCCACCAAAACTCATCTTAGAATTTAATCCCCACTGGGAGGTCTGAGCAATGCAGAAACTTTTATTTCACTTCATTTTATTTTATTTATTAGTATATGTTTGAAGTACATGAAATTTAATCGGATTGGTATTTGGAGATTTGGAAATAATTAAGGTTAAATTATCTTTGGGAGATAATTAAAGCAATTAAAGAGGCCATAAAATGGAATCTAATGCAAATGGAATTTTGGTTTTATAAGAAATGGAGACACCTGAGCTAGGACTCTCTTGCCATCTGATATCTTGTAGCACCTTGAGATTTTACAGTGTCCTCACCTGCAAGAGTCATCACTAGATGCCTATATCATTTTCTTAAACTTCCCAGTCTTACTAACTGTGATTTGAAGACTTTTTTATTCTTTATGCAGTTCGGTCTGTGGCATTCAGTTATAGTAACAAAAAACAGATTAAGGTAACATTCAAGTGAAGACATCAAATTCCAAATATCCAGTGACTTGTTAGAATGTGTAACTCAGAGGGAAATGTGAGATCTAGGAATGTAGAGCTGTAAGACTTAAGCAGAAGATGGTAGTTTGGTGTTGGGCTTTGAAGTTGGACTCTGCTGCCAGAATGACTCAGCTTTCATTTTGGCTGTCTCATACGTGGTGTTGAAGTCACTTAACGTCTCTAGACATTAGTTTCTTCTTCCTTAAGAAAGGGTAATAAACAATGACAGGCTTACAGTAAGTATTCAAAATGTTAGTTATCATTAATATTATTATTGTTTCTACTATAATTAAAGCATGAAACTGGATGAGGTCACCCATGGAGAAAGGACGAATACAGAAAAGATGAATCATAAAGATTAAAACCCTAGACACTTCAAAATTTAGAGGCTGGATACAAAAAAGGCAAAGCCAATAAGGTAGGAGAAAAATTAAGTATAATAAAAACATTAAAACAAAGGCAGACAGCTGTCAAACAAGGCCAGATACTAGGGGAATATAGAGCTCAAATTGCAGACGATTGAGGAGGCAATGGAATGGAGGAAATAGAACAAAGCAAAGTGAAATAGCCTATGAATAGCAGTAATTTGAGATTATTTTTCCTGTAAAAAGAAAAGCATAGAATTGGGATAATAGTGATATAAAAATGTGTGGTTCAAAAGTCATTTTTTGAAATGGTGTATAATTGTAAAAGCCAATCAAAATGAAAGAATTGCAGGCTGAATCATCTGTAAAAACAATTTTAAATTTTACTTGATCTCATTTGTGAGAAAGGAGGCCTCTAGCTCTGGTGTTTTAAAATAATTTGATTTTGAATTCCTCAGTAATTAGTTCGTTCACTAAATTGCTGTTGTGTTTGCCACTTTGTACTGATTTTTATTCAGTTCAGTTGTTTTGTATAGAATAACATTCTGACCCTAATGCCTGAGAATGTGTAATATATTCACAGAATTGATCTAGTAGAGGGCAAGATATTGAAAGGCGGAGGTAATGCAACAAATGCAAACCTTCAGAAGATGAAACAGAAAATGATCCTAGCTATCATTTGGCAAATACTTTTAAATTCTTTGCAGTCACAGAAGGGAAATCAAAGAAGAATCATAATAAGTACAAGTAGATTTGACAGTAGAAAGTTATTTATTGCACTACTTCTCCCATTTCTTTTTTCCTATAGGAAGGTCATATTACATTAGCTCCCACAACACTCATAAACTGATTTGCCATGTCATAGAAGACAGTTAAGTATTCACTGTGTTAGCTAACAATTATTATATTTAAGGAATCTCTGATATGATAAGATTTTTTTATTTTCATATTTCGCATAACACAGTACAAGTAAATATTAATAAAAAAGGATAAGTAGAACTCATCTTACTTCTATGAAAAAATAAAACAAGATTTCATGAAAAATAATTAGAGAATAACAATAGTTAGTCTACTGTGTATCATAATCTTAAAGGAGCAGCCAAAATGTTACTCAGAGTACAATTCATAGGCAAAGAAGATTGTCTCTTGGAAAGAATAAAGAAACAAGTAAAAGCATAAAACTCTCTCTTCACTGAGCCCAGAGAAGCTAGCAGTATAAACACAATAAATTAGCACATATCTGAAACAATGGGATAGATAACTTACAGAGTGCATACTAATATGCCCAGGACTCCTCCAAACCAACCCGTTCTTTCAGTTTTTGTTTTTTATCAGTACCTGTGTGCAGCATGTGATGATTATCTTCTTTGTGGGGATTATGACATGTACGGAACACAATTCAGTTATTTTTGCATCTCATTCTTCTCCCCTCCCTCCATGCACCTTCCATCACTTGATTCACTTCCCATTTGACAAAGACCTGTCTCTCTACTTTCTATTATCTATCTTTTATTTTGCTCCCTATGTTTTAGATATCTCATATTCAAGCTTGTGTGTCTGATATATTTTACTTAATATTGTGGTCTCAATGTTATCATTCTTGGTGTGATAATAAAGATATACCACAAAATAATTATCTGAGTATTAGAAATGGAATCAGTATGAGAAACACACTGGATCTGGCAGTGAAGAGTAAAGTTTATCTTTTCGAATTTAAAATGCTGTGTGTGATTTTCACAAATACTGTGTTCATAGTTTCTCATATGTTGGAGAGGAGAGAGTTGAAAGTTGTACTCAATCAAGGCTGAGGTTTTCCCATGTGGGTACGACCCAAGGAAAAAGAAAAAAGAGGACAGGAAGTCTTTGGGAATGATTATGATAACTGTTTTTATAATCTAAGAGAAAGGAGGCGGTTAAGCTGAGAGATGTAGTGGACAGTGATAAAGTGATGGAGTCTAGAGAATGGAGATCTCATGAGCCACAAAGACAGATGATAACAATCCCACTCTAGTAAAGGTTATGAGATGACTGAAGATAATAAATTGGAGGGTCTGGGAGTGATGTTGCTTCGTTGAGTAGAAATGTGGTAGCTTCACTATGCAGATGAAGATAAAATAATGGCAGGTCACCGTGAAGGATCGTGTTTAGGGTTCAGCACTAAAATGTCCCCCGAATTCTCACACGTGTGGAAGATTATTGGAACATGGATGTGCTCCTATTCACCACTGGATTCACCCATGCTGAACTCCCAGGAGCTGAATGTAATGCTAAGCCTGATTGGAGGTGGATCACAGGGGGCAGGTCCTAGACGGTGTATTTTTGTGGCTGGCTCCTCCCTTTCTTCTCATCCTGTTATCCACGAGATGAGCAACTTTCCTCCACACCAGACTCATCTTGTTATGTCTGCATTTGTGCCTACCAACAACAGCCTAAAAATGTCGAAGCTGTGAGCCAAAATAAATCTCTCCTTTAAATTGTGGGATTCTGGGACTGGGCTTAGAAAGTGACTAAGACGGATGAGTCATACACATGGATGGTCATGTCACCGGGTGTGAAGACAAGGATATGTGTGGAGAGCATGAACGAGCTGGGAATGGGAGTCACGGCCAGGAGAGAATCGGTCAAGGAGGTGAAGCTGCTGATGACAGGGAAGAATCCGTAGGCAACGAAGCCCAGTGTCATGGCTTCCGAAATGAGTAAAGTTATTGAAGTGAAGAGAAGAGGCTACATGGAAGAGAACTTTAATAAGAAGAAAAATCCCCCTATTCTAGAGTTATGTGAGTGACTAGCAGCAAGCAGAAAGTGCTTGAGTAGACTTGAGCAGGAAGACAGTAGAAAACTGCAGTAGGAGGCAGCCAGATCCTTTGAAGACAAAGGAAGCATTCAAAGATTTTTCCAAAGTAACTGAGGACAAATGTGAGTTTGTAGATTATCAAATCAGGCTTGACAGATGTTGGGAGAAGAACTGTGGATAAGATGGGGCGATATAGGCAAGACAATGCGGCTATGGTGACACGGAAGGTCTGACATTTTGTACTCTGCTGATGAACAGAACACATCGGAAGCAACATGGACACATCCTCACAGCTCTTTATAAAAAGGGAACTGAAGATTGCAAACAGTGATTTCATTACTTACAATAAGGGACTGGGATCCATCTCCACCCTCCTGGGGCTCTTGATTTTGTCTTTGAGGACCAGTGGTAAGGACAGGCAACCGCAGTGGGCTGTCCTCAGCGTGACTGCTGTGCTCTGCTCACTACTGCTGCAGCATGGATAGAAAGCAACCACTGGAAATCTCTTCTGCTTAAAATTAATTCTGTCAAAGAAATAAAGATGGTTTCTGATTAATTTTGCAAAGATTAGCACCATAAAAGTTGTGTAAAATATTTTGGGATTTAGAAAGATAAAACACACAAAACTTCAGTTACTAAATAATAAGTGATCCCCTAAGGATTTCTGATAGCAGAGCTTGGGCTCTATTAGGAAAGTTATCACGAGAGCAGAGGACATTTACCCAGGATAAGAAAGGCTGGGACTGGTAATTAATCCTTCCTCGACGCTGAGTGGTGATTAGATCTCCACGAGATGCTTACAAACTTGAGCTTTCACGGTGAAAAGCAGATTTTGAAATGTTGAAATGAGAGTGGTATGGACAAAGATGCTTAAGGAGCAAGAAAGATTGGAAAGAGGTAGAAGGGAGAGCGAGAGAACCCTAAAAACAGGCAGTACTCTCCCCTCACTTTGCTCACAACCAAACCAGCTTTCAGCATCACTCAAAGTAGTTGTTAATTTGGCACACAGAGGACAGATTCTTGTTCCAAAGAAATGGAGTCCTAGATTTACATAAAATTTAGATGTACAGAATGAGAGATTTAAATTTCATCTTTCTCTGCAACTTTTACAGTACCAAAGTGAGAAATAGAAATTTAATATGCAATATTTTTTTCTCTCCATATCTGTAACAAAAGTTTCACAAAACATTTTGGGTATCAAGAGCATAAAACAAGTCTTCTATTCAGGCAAGTTTTTTAATGTAATTTGATTTGTTCGGCTCTGATAGATAAAAGCACAAAACAAAAAGAGCATTTTCTTTCCAGAAGTCAGGTCATATCAATGCATTATAAACATAATTATTTTAATTTTCATGAAAAATGTTAATTTTTCATTGTTAAAGCATTCCAGGCAATCAAAATGATTTTGATAGCCTTTTATTACTTAGCCAAGTTTGAACATGTAAGACTTTTGTAACATTTATTACATTTCAGTTAACATTAACAAGTGAGGAAATTAATTCAAGACATGAAAGGTTGGAAAATGACTAATTAGAACACATAAAATAGTCACCTACAGCATTCCTGTATACATTAACTTCCTCTCAGACTTGATGAATTTGTTGCATATGGGGTGCATTAAAATCAACTTTTTCCATTTAAAATTTGTTAGGTGACACATAGGCAACATTTATAACTCTGTTAGCATAATTTTAAGAGCTTTATAGACTGTGTCACTCCGATCTTGCTGTTGAGCTTGGGCTACTATGAAATAATTTGGAGTTTTCAGCAGCAGAGAAGCATTTCTCAAGGTTAGCTTTTCCAAATAGAAAGTGTAGTATTATAAATTCCCCCTCCCACAAGGTAGAGTTTACATCCATTGGTCAGGAGCAGACATCCCTGGCTTGATGTCCTCAGTCGCTTTGTGCCATTCGTCCAAGTGGGAGACGTAGGTAAGTTGCTTGATTTGTGGATTAGGGTTTTTCTTCCTACTATTCCAATCTTTGAAAAAATTACTCTACTTGCTTCAAAGCTGTTCACAGGGAGCTGCGAACTTTGATCCAGTATATGTGGCTTAATTTTGTTGTTGACTTTGTTTGTGTATTATTTCTGGAATAACCAAAACTTTGGATCTGCTTAGGAGTTAATAACATAGAGAAAATCTTTGATCTTTGCAATCGTAACAGATGCCAATAAAATTATAGTAGTTTCCAGTGTGTTCCTTAAATCAAGAGCTCAGACACAGACCACAACCTTGGCAGTAGATGCAGATAGTATTGATTGATATTGATAGAAATGTTGTGCAAGGGGAGAAAATATTGGTATTTTAGGCATTTTAAAATATGCTAATGATCTTATGGTATCATGCATTTTGAATGTCTTTTTCAGGTAAACATTCTAAGCTTTAATATACCTAATTTTTCAAAGGTTATGGAATGGTGCAAAGAGAGCAACAAAGTTTCAATTAAGAAACTACATTAAAGGCTAATAGTGACTTGAAAAAAAGAAACATCCATTTTTAAACTGAAGATAAATAAGTGCTCTTCATATTTCTGTGGTTCACACAACCTGTTACTGCTGAGAGTGCTAGGAGATATGGCAGAGGCAAGTAAACTCAGATGCATAGCCATTTATAATCAAATGTGAAGTGGGAAGTAAAAAAACACATCAGTAAGTAATTTCATTGAACAATAGAAGTTGTCAGAAATGTACAAGTAAAATACTATTTTACCTTAGTAGCCACTGTTAATGCTGCCCACTTGAATATGGAAGGATGGATTTTGGAAGGTTTGCAAATTCTCCTGTTTTGTTAAGTAAGACTGCTGGTAATTGCCCAGAACAGCTCCAAATCTACATTCCTGAAAATATTTGCCTGAAAGCAAGTGAAATAGAGGCTTAGCTTATTCAGTGTGAATAAAAAACTCATTTGAAGAGAGCATAGTAGGGGATAAAAAGGGACTCCTTGTACTGCTTCTTATTCTCAGAGGAATTTTAGATCCTTCTGCCTGAACCTACTTCATAAAGACTTTCTTTCAAAACACTGAAGGTCAGTTTGTCTGGCAATGCTTTCACCTATAGAAGTAGCATTTATCATGAATTTATTTGTGAATGAGTACTAACTCCACGTGTACTGATTTTAAATAAAATCAAAAAGTGTGTCTGAAATACAAAATCTTTTAAAATTAGATATGCTTTATAAACAGTTTTATAATATATTGCCTGCTGAATAAATGGTCATTATTAATGCTCCTTATAGGTCAACTTAAACATTTATAATTAAGCATCAGTTTTTTTGTCTATAAACTGCAATGTATTCAAATGAGTACACACAGAGAGAAAATAATTAAACTTAAAGATCTTGAAGGAAATCCCCTGTTTTATGTTGTAATGGAAAGTAAGAATTATGCTTATTAATGAATTATAAAAAAAATTTCTCCAATCCAGTGTTTAAATCCTTTTCTAATTGACTTTTTCCAAATATTGGCTTTTAGCCCAATACCTAGAATCATTTTGATTCTCACTGTAAACACTGATACCTATTAGGAACCCAAATGAAATACTAAGGACTAGACAAAAAGAACTTGTTTTCTGTTCTATTTAGTTAAGAACACTTTGAAAATAATGCATGGAATATTAATGTATTTATGTATTAAATAATGCATTTATCCATAAGCTCTAAAGGAACGGAAAATTAGAGGGAGGAAAGTTTCATGGTTTTGGAAACGCCTAGGCTTGAACGTATATGAAAAAGTTATGAGTATTGTTTGTATGACTAACAAACTGTTTCAGTTTCTTCCACAAAATGGTCTGAGAATTATAGACCTCACTACCATTATCCCCGTCATAAACCTGGTATCTCAGAGTGGATAAAGAGTCTTAACACATTTTAAATGCCAAAACTCTTAAACAATACATTGTTATAAATAAATGAATCATTATCTTTCTATTTCTGCCTTTGAATCACTGACTTTCCACATCTTCCTTTCTCCGTTTCTTCGCATAAAATCAATTTCATCATAAGTAAAATATCTACTGTAAAAATGTGAATAAGTCTGTGCCTGGATGTGAACGTTTGTCCCCAGTTGTCCCGAGAAGCCATCTATCCAAGTCATGGGTTGTTTTGATACATTATCCACATAAAAAAGGCTACCAGCTTGATTTCTTTGATGTTGACATTAGCATTTCTATGTCCAGCAAATTATTTGTAAGCTATCGCCAAATAAATACATATGTATCTTCCTATTTCATGGCTAGGACATTTTGAAAGGCGAAAATGTTAGCGAGACTCGTTCTAGGACTTGTCATCCTTGATGCTGCTATGACTGCTCCTACCCCAGAGGTCATCAACTATGACTCCGAAACCTACGATGCCATCTTAGACGACCTGGATAACCTGTACAACTACGAAAACATTCCCGTCAGGCAAGCAGAGGTACCTGACTTTTCCCACTCTTAAGAATTTTAAAAGCACCTAATGAGAGATGATGGGTTTTTCTCTTTAAGTGGATTTTTGTGTATTTATAGAGAAGTTTTAATAATTTCACATCAACGTTTTCTCCAGAACAAACTCAACATTTTAGGGGTCAACACTGAAACAGTCTTTTTGCTTTCTTGCAGTACTCTGTAATTTTTTTAATCACATCATCAAACTGAAAAAGAAAGAGAAAGAAATTGGATTTTATATCAAGTTTTAACAGAGAAAATTTAGGCCTAGGAAAATGTGAGATAGAAGTAAATTAGAAAAAACTTCAGAGAAAGCTGAGAAAGGACAAGGGAACTGTACTACATCCCAGGACTGAATATGCCTTTCTGAATGACAGTCTCCCCCACAGCAAGGTTGGCATTGGCAGAGTTGTGACCTATTACAAAAATCTGATCTGACGACTTCCTAATTAAATGCTAGGTTCCTTACATAACTCTAGGATACAGGATAATTTTTGTCAATCAGAAAACAAACAGACCTTGAAATACTGAAATGTAATTAATATACAATGTGGCAAAATCCATAAATAAACAAAAATGGAAGCTGTATCTCCTATAAAGGATCCCATTATATTTTGGGCAGCCTTTCTAATATAAATTCTTTATAATAACTACTTTTGATAACCAGGGATACAACCTAGGCATGTATTCTATTTCTTAAGAAGATAAAAATGCCCAATATTTTATGAACTATAACCTATGAACTATGAGTCATATTCTCTCTCTCTCTCTCTCTCTCTCTCTCTCTCTCTCTCTCTCTCTCTCTTCCCCTTGCTCTCATTCTCACCTTGACTCTTTTTGTCTATTTCTCATCATCTTTTTCCTTTTCATTTTGTAATAAAATTTCTCGTTTAAAAACAGACTGTGACTCTATTTTATAAATGTTATTTGACATTCACTATAGGATTCATTTCACAATATTTGGGGGCGCTGAGTGAGACAGGAATTTTCTAATATAAATTCTTTATAATAACTACTTTTGATAACCAGGGATATAACCTAGGCATGTATTCTATTTCTTAAGAAGACAAAAATGTCCAATATTTTATGAACTATAACCTGTGAACTATGAGTCATATTTTCTCTCTCTCTCTCTCTCTCTCTCTCTCTCTCTCTCCTTTGCTCTCATTCACACCTTGACTCTTTTTGTCTATTTCGCATCATCTTTTTCCTTTTCATTTTGTAATAAAATTTCAGGTTTAAAAACAGATTGTGACTCTATTTTATAAATGTTATTTGACATTCACTATAGGATTCATTTCACAATGTTTGGGGGGCGCTGAGTGAGACAGGATCTCCTTATGCAGGTCAAGCTGAACTCATTATGTAGTCCAGCCTGGTTTCAAATTTGGGGGCAAATTCAAATTCTTGCCTTAGCTTTCCAAGTGCTGAGATTACAGGCGTGCGTCACCATGCCAGGCAAGATGGTTTTTCTTAGGCTGGAGAGATTTCCCATTGAGAATTTATGATCATCAGCACCAATCTTGCTCTAAGGCTCCAGCCTAGGCATCAGTGTAGAGTGTAAGAAGGTTTCTCAGTGGCTAACTCATCTACCTTGCTACTTTTTCCACTACATAGTCTAAAGAAAATATTTTTAGTGCTTATCTGCTTTTATCTACAAAATTAAATCTGAGTCAAATTTATTTGTTATTCTACTTTGCAGAATCTTTATGATCAAAGACGTTTGATGAAGTTGTAATTGAATGTTCTATTTGAGAATGCTATATGTGTGGATTAAAGGGTTTTACTTATTCCTTTCAGATGAACACATGCACAACAGAATAAATATAGCTTGGGACTGGGGCGTTTTTAGATGAAACTGTCAAGGGAGTAAGATTTCACTACAAAACATTTTTAACCTCTTCCATACTGTCAGGATCCTTCTGCTTGCCCAGAAAGCACCAGAGGTTTTCATGACAAACTTTTCATGAGAATTTTTCCTGCCATCAAGAAGTGTAAGCTACTAAACGTATTTGTGGAAAGATATCTTGATACGCAGTCTTTCTCCAGTTTTTGCATATTCCCTGGTAACAAACTCCCTGCAAAATGCTAAATGTGCACTATTTTCCTTGCATGCCCCAGTAAATGTCTACTCATTCTCACCTTGACTCTTTTTGTCTATTTCTCATCATCTTTTTCCTTTTCATTTTGTAATAAAATTTCAGGTTTAAAAACAGACTGTGACTCTATTTTATAAATGTTATTTGACATTCACTATAGGATTCATTTCACAATATTTGGGGGCGCTGAGTGAGACAGGATCTCCTTATGCAGTTCAAGCTGAACTCATTATGTAGTCCAGCCTGGTTTCAAATTTGGGGGCAAATTCAAATTCTTGCCTTAGCTTTCCAAGTGCTGAGATTACAGGCGTGCGTCACCATGCCAGGCAAGATGGTTTTTCTTAGGCTGGAGAGATTTCCCATTGAGAATTTATGATCATCAGCACCAATCTTGCTCTAAGGCTCCAGCCTAGGCATCAGTGTAGAGTGTAAGAAGGTTTCTCAGTGGCTAACTCATCTACCTTGCTACTTTTTCCACTACATAGTCTAAAGAAAATATTTTTAGTGCTTATCTGCTTTTATCTACAAAATTAAATCTGAGTCAAATTTATTTGTTATTCTACTTTGCAGAATCTTTATGATCAAAGACGTTTGATGAAGTTGTAATTGAATGTTCTATTTGAGAATGCTATATGTGTGGATTAAAGGGTTTTACTTATTCCTTTCAGATGAACACATGCACAACAGAATAAATATAGCTTGGGACTGGGGCGTTTTTAGATGAAACTGTCAAGGGAGTAAGATTTCACTACAAAACATTTTTAACCTCTTCCATACTGTCAGGATCCTTCTGCTTGCCCAGAAAGCACCAGAGGTTTTCATGACAAACTTTTCATGAGAATTTTTCCTGCCATCAAGAAGTGTAAGCTACTAAACGTATTTGTGGAAAGATATCTTGATACGCAGTCTTTCTCCAGTTTTTGCATATTCCCTGGTAACAAACTCCCTGCAAAATGCTAAATGTGCACTATTTTCCTTGCATGCCCCAGTAAATGTCTCATGTAAACATCCACAGATATCACAGAATTTTCTCTAGGTAACCAGATTCCTGGTCAAATTCAACTGTCCAGCCTACACAGACACTGACATTTCCTGTGTTTGCTTGAAGTATATTAGTTAGTCCTGATGTAGCAAAGTGTTGAAGCACATCGGTTATCAGCAAACTGGCTTATAGTGAGATGGTACAAAGAGAGAGAAAGATATGTATGTGTTGTAATAAAAATGCATTTTAAATTGCTAATTATGTATGATTTAATTTTAAAAGTATTTGCAAGCTTAATTCATTAGCAAAGAACTATCATCCAATCAACCTACTCACATAATACTTATGAGAAAAGAAATACAAAAACAGCATAATAGAGTAAATAAGATGATATAAGGACTTAGATTTGGAATTTTCGCTCAGATATCAACGAAGTATTAATATAAATTGTTTTTATATATGAAGCACTACTATAAAGTTATTATAGAATGATGTAAAATAAAGCCAAAAATCTAGTTATGTTCATAGATTTTGGCAACTAGCATGGGTTTCATGAAGGCAATCGTGGAAGTTCAGATTTTGGTGTCTCCTGGTAAATTAATTTATTTATTTGTATTCATTAAGAAAAGTAAATTGTTCCTGATAGTCTTGATCCTGTGAAACTTTCTAAGAGAACGTATTAAAACCCCATATAGGGTACAGCTGATTGGAAACAAAAATCCTGGTGAGTAAAGAATGTGGAATAGTATGATCAGATTCTTCAGATTTTTATCATCAATGTCAAGGGTATGATTCTGACTGCTCTAGCTTGGAATTTATCTAAAAATGACAATTATATATTCTAAAATTATGAATTTACAGGACAACTGAAAAAACTTTTAAAATACATTTTAGTTCTTTCTGATAGATTGTAAGACCTGGCATCATTGACTAAGGTATTAGACCCTTTGGCCTAGGCTTTGTCTAATAGATTCTGAATAGCTTTGAAAAATAATTTAGGCAAAACTCTAAGATGTCTTAAGAAAAGGATTTTGTCTAAGTGAGACTGACCTAATCTACTTACTCAACCAAACCACACTCCTCAATCATGCTTTGTTAACGTCTACTGTTGGTGGTGTATGCATTGTCATCTGAGTGGTTGAGAAAAGTCATTAAATCATTTCTGGTTATGAATATTACCTGCAACAGTAATACAGCAGACTGATTACTTGCTTGATTCCTGATCTAATATCCAGAATCCACTGTATTCTATCTTAAAGCATGGTTTGGACTAAAGAACCGCATTGCAGTGCTATAAACCGGTGAATAAATGTATTGATATGACATAATGATCCCAGTTTTTACTGAACTTTCATTTACTTTAATGGTGTGAATATTAATTGGACATAGTAATGGTGTAAATAGGCTACATGATCAAAATATGAGCTTTTAAGCTTTTAAAATATAATACATTGGTATAGAACTTGGTTAAAGGAAAGTTTGAAAAATTATCTATGTATTTGATTAACAATATATTTCTACTATTATCTCCTCTATTAACAATAGATATGCAATATGTTTTATCTTTTTATTTGTAATTATGTCTCACTTTGGAGAATATATGCAGTACACATTACAGTTTCAAACACTTGCTTTGCATTTCTGACACTTCATACTTGAAAAGATTTTTAACTCCTTCAACATTTGTTAAATATTCTTTTCTGGATGTTGTGAAGAAAAAAAAACTAGTCTGTCTTTATTAAAGATGCTCTTGAGGAAGGGAGAGAAAGAATAGTCTAAATTTTAATTTAGATGTCTGACTGACTTTCCACATGACTTTTTCAAAGACAGTGTTAAACCATTTGTTTCTCATTTTAAGCCGCAAATAATGAAGCAGCAAAGAATATACAACCAAATAGGCTCACTGAGGAAAAAATAATGGTAGCTTTTACCAATAACTTCTTTATATTTATATTGTATATAATTTATTATGCCTTAAACATAAGCTAATTCAAACTATCCTTGGAAAGAAAATATTGTTCCTATTTAACAACAATTACTGAGACTGAGAATTTTGTTCAAGATTATTCAGCTAAAAAGTTGCAGAGTAAAATATAAACCAGATTTTTAAACATGAAAATAGAAGTCTGACACTAAAAGCCTGCATTATTTTTCATCTGCTTCTCTGCAACCTTGACTTCTCTTAACTCTGTCCAATATTGAGATTTCTTTTCTCTGAAATTAAGTAATTTGATTTTAAGGAATCATAAAAACAACAATTTTTAAGTGATTATAATGAACACAATCTCCATGCATCTCCTTTGCTGTCAAACTCTTTAAGGGAGCAAGAGGTAAGATGATCCCCCTGAACTGAAAGTGACTTTGTCAGAAATATGGGCATTGAGCGATCTTTGCCAGATACATTTCTTTCTCATTCATTTTCAAGATAAAGTAGAATATAAAATATAGCTTTTATTGCCATGTGTTCATAGTCACATTCTTTCAGATAGTTAATTCAGATCACTTTAAAAGATTTCAGCAACAGGCTTGTGTTCAAAGCAGAATTCTGTTGCGTTTAAAATATCTCCACGCCAGTGTGTTAACCCATTAGAACCCATCTTTACTACACTAAGCTGAGCAGCTCAGAATCCTCTAACACCACTGGAAGTGAAATATCGACATAATATTACAATGGAGAAGAACTTGAAGATTTATTTCTGCAGTGAGGTGAAATAATTTAAAAGACAGATTAAGCTCAAACTTCCATTTTCTTTAACAAAAACCTTGGACTGCACTTGAATAAACCTCCAAATAATATCCAAGATTGCAAATACATTTTCTAAAATAATTATAATTTAAAGTTGTAATTTAAATAGTATCTGCTGAAGGCCTGTGTTGACTGGACAGGAATTAATTGGCAAGGGAATAGCCTAAACCAAGCAAATACATAGGGGAGGATAGTCACTTCTGAATCTGATTTTGCGTGAACGGGTAGACCATTAACTCATTTATGTGGAATTTAAAACATTTATTTATGCAATTTTAAAATTTAATTTATTGAATTTTTAAAATGTTTGCCTGAAATTCATACATGTTTTCCAGAAATATTTAAGGCAAGAGAATTTGAAGAGAAAAATTATTATATTCTGTGGGTAGTTGACGAGAAAATTATTACAGAAAGGAACGATTGGTCTCTCCAAGGTCTCTGTGGCTTCCAGTATCAACATGAAATCTTTTCCTCTTGTACATGTTTGTGTCATGATACCATCCACCACCAAGCCTGATCCTAGACTCTTAGACTCCAATCTGCAAGATAAATAAGTCTCTTGCTCTCATGCATTACTCAGCCTCAGGTATTTGGGTGTAACAATGAAAAGTGAACTACTACAAAGTGTAATGCAAATGATAGCCTAGATTATTCAAGTTTAAGTGGATTAAAACACAAATTTGATATTTCTTGCCTTATGATTTAAGTCCAAAGAGTAGGCCGTAGAGAATTCTCCTTCTCTAATTCCTTTGCTTCATGACAAGCACATAGATTCTTAGTGTTTGAGTCAAATTGGATTCTTTCAGCAGGTGCAACCTAAGTGGACTCTTCCAGATGCAGCTACAGTTCCCAAACTGTATATAAATTATATTTGTTCAGTATAAAGTCTCCTAGAGCTTCATGTTTCATGGGAATGAAGTTTTAGTCATATAATTATAACACTAATTCTGTCATGTCATATATATAAAGAATAAATTAATTCTGAGTTCCTACAGTTGCTACGTTTAGGGGAAAGTACATTCCCAGAAAACATTATGTTGTGTTGCCTGAGACCTAAGAAGAGCCTCAGTGGAAACTGAGGAAAGCCATAAATTGGGAAAAAAACAAACAAAAAAACTCTTCATTTCTCCTCGTACAAAAGTCGGTCCATTAGTGTCTATTGCCCGTGGTCTACAGTATATGGCCTCAGATACAATGTGGACAAATCTTCCACCAGGACTTAAATCCTGACCTCATGTTTTTGAGGTTTAAGACCTCAGTCTTGGAGCAGTGCTTCCATAAAGGTGGTCACTGAGTGGGAAATAGAATCAGCTGGGCGCTGACAAAAAACTCTTCATTTCTCCTCGTACAAAAGTTGGTCCATTCGTGTCTATTGCCCGTGGTCTACAGTATATGGCCTCAGACACAATGTGGACAAATCTTCCACCAGGACTTAAATTCTGACCTCAGGTTTTTGAGGTTTAAGACCTGAGTCTTGGAGCAGTGCTTCCATAAAGGTGGTCACTGAGTGGGAAATAGAATCAGCTGGGCGCTGGTGTACAATGCAAATACCAGACCAAGGAATCAGAAATCTAGAGGTGCCCCTAGTGACACGTGATTTACCAAGTGCTCTACGTCATTTTGATGAGAAAGTTATTTGTTTGTTTGTTTGTTTGTTTTTGGTACTAGGGATCGAACTTGGGCTCTTGTGCTTGTGAGGCAGGCGGAGGAACCTCTGAGCCAAACCTCCAGCCCAAAACTGTTTTACCTGGTAATAATCTGGTACTAATTTCACAAAATTTAGAATCTTTTTTTTTTTCATATGGGGATTAAACTCGGGACCTTGCATTCAGGGCAGGCGTGGTACCACTGAGCTAAATCCCCAGCTGATGAGACAACTCTCAAGAATCATTAAAGCAAGGGGGGAATAAAAAAACTCTTAGGCAATTTCTCTTCTCTGAGTTTGAGTTTGAGGTTTGCCTGCTTTCTAGCCCAGTGTGTATACCAATACCGATGGCAATCTCAGTCACCAACTTACCTGAAGTGTCTTTCTCTTTCTACATATTCACAGCCTAAGAATTCCCATTTTCATGCTAAATCCTGTGTTTCTGACACTTCCTGCTGCCAGGAGTATGTGCTCTGTCAGGTGACAGGCTCATTAATTTTCAACCAGAAATGTCCTCTGGGTGGATGCACTTTGCCCAGTAGCCTCTGCACTTGCCTCCTGCATGCACTGCAGGAAGTCTATCTCTTAGGGACATTTCTTCATTATGCATGTTTTCTTTTTCACCTGAAAAAAAAAAAAGAGGGAAACCTTAGTACATCCTTGAACCATGCTGCTGCTGATGTTTCTAAAACTTGTGCCCATTGGGGCCTAGGGTAGGAGATTGAAAAAAAGTCATCTATCACCCTCACGGAGCTTTTTCTCCACATTTCAGTGTTTAAGGACTTGATTACCGATTCTGTTCCCCACTCCCTATTCTGCAGAACAAATGATTTTGCTGGTGCAGTGATTCTCCACCTTGAAAAAAATATGTGAATCCCTTTTAGAACTTTAAAACTCCCCAATGCCTAAACCACACCCAGAGCACAGAAATCAGAATATTTGTAGGTGAGACCCAAATTTATGTTTGACTTTCCATAGCTACTTTTTCAGGGTCACTCATTTGCTTTTGTTAAAAAAATGATTTCTATGTGTGTGAATTCAGTTTTTATTTCTGTAATACTGGACACTGTGCTAGTTTCAGTGCTTTTCTTTCAGTTAATTTTTCTTGTATTTTGCTGTCCACACTTGTTTTTTCACATAGTCCTGTATATCTTGTCTTGCAGCATCACCCGTAGTGATGGTATACAACCATTTCTGAGTCTGCCAGAAAGTATTGGTGTCCTAAACGTTTTTGGAAATGTTCATATATGTCAGTTGAATAATGCTACTTGAATGTATTTTCTAATCCGAGATTTGAACTCTGATCATCCTGACTAGTTTTCATTTAATGTGACTAATATTTATAAGATCTTTCCTAATACCGCAAGTCTTCCTCTCATACACTCCTAGGGCAAATTTGGTAAACCTTGTCTACCTTGAGTTTTCCAGAGACAAAGAGGCTCACCTTGTGTTTTCTTTTCTGCTGATACTTAATACAGCCAATGAAATCATACAAGAAATGTTACTCTTCAGTTTTGTTATCTGTTGGGTTTATAATTATTGGCAGGTACTATCAGTGTGGTCAGTGTGAGGTGCAGTGGGTGGCTTATAAAGAATAATCACAACGACATTACGTCAGTCTCCTTATGACACTTCAATGTGAGCTTTGGAGAGTTAAAAGACATGCACTAACATATTTTGTACACTCCATTCCTTGACACATTCCAGACAAAAAGATATATATCTAAGAGATACTGAGGCTGTATTTAATCATTTTCCAAGTGTTCTCCTTGGAATTGTGATACAATTTTCTAATTAAAGACTAAAAAGAAAGAAGTCAAGTACCAGATATTTAAAAAAAAACAACTCTTGCTATGACTACAATTAGTATGTAACAAATGCAAAGAAATAATAGAGCTTGAAGGGGATCAGTAAATTATGGTAACAGAAAGAATTAAAGAAAACCCCAAGGCTAGTGGTGTCTAGACCAATAAACCATTTTTACCAATCTTCTTTTATTGCCTGTCTGATTTCTACTATGCCAATAGGTGCAAAAACTTATGATAGTCAAGAAGTTGAGAGATAGTGGTCTCCTAGAAAAATAGCCTGTCTTTTTTAGAGCTGATTTATGTAGACTTCTTTATTCTGTTCGACTTTGTGCCTCAATAAAGGCTGTGTCAGAATGGACAATTGGCTTTGTGTTAGGCTGGGAAAGAGTAAAGCAAAAATAGTTTCAAAACAATGACATTACTCCATCAAAAATAAAGTGCTACAGTTTGGGAGGTTGCAAATATCCTGCCTTTTTAGTATAACACCTTCTTTTTAATTACCGTGACTGACTTCCTCTTGCTAACCTCAATCTTCATGAGATTATTTATTTTGCCCTACACTAGGTGTTCTAAATTGTCCTTTAGACATAATCACTTGGGGAACAAGGGAAGTAAGAGGAAAGGGAACACAAACTGACTGCTCTTCGATAATGTTTCTAAACCCTTAGCCAAAGGGATTCCCCTAATATTATTTGGAGACAGAACTAGATGATATATTTCATAGGACTAAGATATTGGGAGTCTATTAAGTTTCTGGAGAATAAGGAGATGATGCTGAATAGAGTGCTGATATAGCACTGAATAGATTGAGGAAATAGAAGAACTTTCTGAAAATTAAAGGTAGAAGACGGCCATCGTCTGACAGCAATAAAAGAAAATTAAAAAATAAACATGTGAGCAAAGAAAAACATACCGAGGCCCCCCAAAAGTCAAAGACTAAAGAATGTGATTAATTGGAGTTGGCATCATGTATTGTTGCTTTGTATGTTGTATTTTTCACTTGAAAATTAAAAGTTTGGGCCAGGGATGTAGCTCAGTGGTGCAGCACCTGTCCAGGAAGCACAAGGCCCTGGGTTCCATTCCCAGTACCAAAAAAGAAAAAAAAGCCCCTAAAAAAATTACAAATTGAATTTTTGAATAAAAAAGTGCTATTTTTAGAATTATAAGCTTATGAAGAATAACCATACAGCGAGATACACAGAAAAATAAAAACTAAGAAACATTTGTATGTCCTAAATACATGATTATCCTAGCAAGCATGTTAACATCACGTATTATGATTTTATGCTATTTTGCTATAAACAAAACTCTGTTAACTAATTTTGATATTTAACTCCAAGGCATTTATTCATTTTATAACTTTGTTAACTTTTACGTCATAAATATTGAGCATTATTTTAGTAAATTTACTCAAATTTAATGGCACGATATTTCAGTGAGCACTGCAGCAAATAACTAAGATCATACAATGATTGTGGAAGCGAAATTTGAAAACATCCGAACAAAAATAGTGCGTCCATTTTTTTTTTCTAAACACAGAGATATGTACTAGATTAGTCAACCTACAAAATATTAAACTCATTCTTTCAATGTAATTAGTAGTGGACAATAAAAGAAAATAAAAATGTTTGTTTTGGGACAAATTATAATAGTAGCAATAATAAACAACTCTGAAATCCAGTGTAAGTTGCTTTCCTCCACGTAACCCTTAAGAGTTCCAAGTCTGTTTCATACCGTAACTTCACTATCTTCAACTTAGGACCTCAAGGTTCCCTTGAAGTCCGGTGATCCTTAGGGTCTTGCAGGGACAGATTTGGAGAAGAGGCAGAATGAGGAGAAACTATCCTCACTCTTCACTAATATAGCGCAGCTGTGCGGTCTCACGTCCTCCCCTCTTCCACGTGCTAAGGCTCACTACATGAGCAAACTCAGATTAAAACAAAGTAGAAAATGCATTTTAGCTGAATGCCTCGTAGAAAAACCAGACAGATCGCTCATACAATTCTCTCACCCGTTAGGTTAAACTAGGCTTAAGTTTCATTCTGATACAATAATCATGTCATAAAAATAAAATAATTACAAATTCTTATTTTATTTTGCGATCCTTCTACATCAAATTTTTTTTTTAAAGTTGTTAAAGTAAAGAAGAAAGTCAGGTACCAAGTCTTCCTCTGTGGGCGCATGGCCTTGACATGGTCTTTAGCCTTCAGATTCAGCAGCTGAATTTCCTATGGATGATCAATAAAGTTGTTAAAGTAAAGAAGAAAGTCAGGTACCAAGTCTTCCTCTGTGGGCTCATGGCCTTGACATGGTCTTTAGCCTTCAGATTCAGCAGCTGAATTTCCTATGGATGATCAATGGCGATCACATCAGATCTTAAGGTGGTGAATGATGCCAAGAAAAACTCATATGACTCTTAACGTATGCGTAGGGAAGTTCACTTATGAATTCATAGTGTGAGTGGTCACTTCACAATGATGAGAGTGCTTGCTTCCCCTGTCTAGATTTCTCTGTTCTCAGAAGGAGGGTACCAAAGAAATTAATTATTTAACAGAGTCTTGCTTGGCTTAGTTACATAATGACATCTGGTGAAACCTTCTATGTGCCAGAAATTATTTCTTTAGTGTATTGTCCTTGTTCACCATATTTCTTATTTCTTTCCTCCAGATAGCGCTGGCCACAACAGCAAACTATTCTTCTATGAGCCAAGTTTTTTAGACTTTATCCTGTTGAATTTATTTGTTCTTTCTCAGCTCTTTCATTATCATTAATGAGCAAGACTCAAGGGTGAGGACTGGCTCCTAAGGTCCCTGAGGACTAAGTTCCTCTCAGTGCATCATTTTGAGCTCAATTCTCCAATGGGTGAACAATTTGAAGGAATTTCAGTTCTTAGCTGGTGAATGCTGTGTGACTCTATCTGTGACCCAACATGTATCTACAAAACATGAACTTTTTTTCTTGCTCTAACAGGAGCAATTACATCCTCATTCCTCAAGAAATGTCAAAGAGTGAATGGAGAGCTCAGTGTGTACACAATTTTACTTTGTCTTTCTACAGTGTGATGGTCGTGGGTGTGCATACAGGCAAAAGAAAAATTAATGAAATTTTCCCATGTCTGCCTAAGTTGAAATGCTTAGTCAAAATTGTGAGGAGTATGTTGGACATAAAAGAGGAGATAGAGAAAGAAAGAAACCTAAGTGAGGACTGGTTAACTGATGGCTTACAGTTAAGATGTCCAACATAAAAACAGCAGATTGCACAGATCCAGAGAGCATCCGTTAGGATACCACGTGAATACCGTCCCTGGACACATGTAGTGGAGAGGCATGAACACTGGGTGTTTAACTCTATCTGCCCATCAATAACAGACCTAGATGACATTCTTGGATCAATAAGAGATTCCCAACTCAATTTTATTAAAGCAGGTCAGAACACTAGCTTCCTTTCATAATATGTTTACTCCTCGATGAAAGTCCATTAGTAGATATGGAGACACCTGAGATAACACACATTTCATCTTCATCTTCTCTTTCTTGAATTTTGAGCTATGTTGCATTATTTTTTTATTCTGATAATCAAGACATTTCTTACACTTCTTGAATTTTTAAATAATGACATTGTTTACCTGTATTGATTCAATGATACACATTAGAAAACCTACTGACTTTTATATGAACTGGGGTAGGAACTGCAAATACAATGGTGAAAAAGAAAATACATAGTATTTCCCCTTACACAACATTAAAATAGGTAACCGTTAGTGTTATGGTTTGGGTCTAGCTGTCCCCGCAAAGCCTCGTGTGGTCATA